AGCCCACAGCTAAAGGTGAGAGACAGGAGTGGGGGAATGCCATTTTAAACAGTGACAGCTTGGTTTTGAGAAGGAAGACAGGATTTGGTCCCACAAAGCAAAGGCACACAGAAGTACTGCTTTTCAGACAGGATTTATCCAAATTTTCCCAACATCTGTCACTAGGTTAAGTCTGGTTTTTGTTTCAGGCCACATCACAAACATATCACCAGGTCAGTTAACATGGCCTGTTTATTCAAAGTACAGTCACCATCCATTGCTACTAAGCTACTAAGTAAGCTACTTAGTACTGTGATACCTACTAAGACTGTGTCACAGGCTACCCAGTAGGAGTTAAGATAAATAAATGAATCTGAACTCCACTTATGAACATGGACCAGACCACTTTACCACACAAAGCAGTCAGCGTATAATCCTTGATCTTCCCACTTGGCTTCTCTCTGATGGAGAAGTACCAGTTGGAGGCTGGAGGGCCCAGATGTTGGATGCTTTTACCATTCAAGCCATATAAAATGCTGCCTAGATTAGAAGCTGCAGGTCATTTATGAGGTTATGATATTGAAAAGTAGCACAATGAGAAATTACGCATGGAAACCTTGAAGAAAACTGTATTTGAACCGCATGTTAGATTCCTTACCTGCATGCGTGTGCGCACAAACACACTCTAATTCTTTTGTTTCCTTTCACTGGTGTTGTTTTCTCCTTTGTGTAAGCTGAAATTCTATTATGAAAATGATTTCCAGCAATTTGCACCGTATTGTGACAGACTGAGCAGTCAGGTGCCTTCATGTTCTTAAATTTACAAGCCTTCCAAAGCCCGTCCATGTGGGGAGGCCAGGTGCTCGGTTTACCCTGGGCACGCATGGCATTCCACTGAGCAGGAGAATTCTTGCTGAGCAGCGCCTTTGGCGGTAGAGTGTAGCAAATGACTTTAACCTTGTACCTAACTTGTGCTGCCGTTACACTAAGTAACGCTGTAGGTTAATTTTGTGCTCAATTTCTGTATTGATAGTACAATCTAGCAATTAATAGGTGTGCACTGAAAAGTCTATCAAGCTGAATTTTCAAAATAAATGCCATGCTAAATGCCAAATACATCAGCAGAAATTAAAATTGCATGAAGGGGGAAAATCAGTATTTCATCCTTAAAAGATCAGCAGGACTGCTGAAGCAGATTCACAGTGTGAAAATACATCCAAGCAGCTCTTAAAGGGAAAGAACTGCAGCTGAGGCTCCAGATTGCTAGGGGTCTCTCCAAGGTGCCAAAGAAAAGAAGGCAAATAAAAACTCACTTACTGCCCTCCCGCAGGAGGGTTTGGTTTTTTCTTTTCTTTCTTTCTTTCCTTCCTTTTCTTTTTTTTAAGTGAAACTAGATTTTTCTACCGGAAAATTGCCTCTCTACCCTTGAATGTCAGGAAATGTGTTCATCATTTTTGTGGGTTTTCGTTTTACATATGGGAATTTGCTTTCTTCAGTACCGCTGATGCAAGGCAGGGCCATCTTTTTGGTATCTGTGGCCTGTTGGAGTGTGAAGGTTCATGAATATTCTGTGGCAATGCATGTAGATTTTTATGATCAGGTTTAAAAAGGTGTCAGCCTTCCTTCTTATGGGGGGGAGTCATTCAGTGCTCACCATCATTACAGCTTTGATTTCACTTACATTGCCATGCAAAAGCTGCAAGCCCACCAGTGACTGAGCCAACACTTAGCCCCCACATTGTGCAGTTATGCGCACTACTGTTACTTGCTCTCCTGCAAGTGCCTGTGGTCCCGATTCAGCACAGGACGGTGACACTTCAGGAAAGGAGGCTTTCGGCTGCCCCCCCCCCTTCATGAAAAAATCCAGGCACACCCTATTGGCGAGGAGGAAATAAAATGGCTCTGTCGATTCCAATTTGCAACCCTTTTTTTTTTCTACATCCTGGAGTGGGGATGAATGAGTGAATGAAAATTCATGATGAGATCAGAGTGGGAGAAGAGTAGAATTTCTGGAATGAGGGGAAAACAGATAACTGTCAGTCCACAATTATATTTATTACTTTGTTTATTAGAAATATTAAAGACAGGAATTCTTCACCTATGCTTTCAGAGCAGCTTGGAACTATACGTAAAGCACATGGAAAAAAGAATAAGAAAAAGCACTATAAATGCCCGCCCGCCCCCTGAGATCAGCGGGAGAGGCCCTTCTCCGGGAACCTTCCGTGAAGGAAATTAGGAGGATAGGTACTCGGAGGAGGGCTTTCTTTGTGGTGGTGCCCAATCTATGGAATGCGCTCCCCAGAGAGGTCCGCCTGGCACCATCGTTACTTGTTTTTTGGCGCCAGGTGAAAACCTTTTTATTCAAGCGTCATTTTAATTGTTAATGTTATTTTTATTTTAAAGTTTTTTGGCCAGGGCGACTTATTTTATACAGTTACATGTATTTTATATTGTTACTTATGTATTTTAATTTATTTATTTGTAAGCCGCCCCGAGGCTTCGGTGAATGGGACGGCCTAGAAATTTTCTAAACACACATACATACATACATACATACATACATACATAAGACACAGAACAGCTATTAAGTCTCAGACACTTCATTGGCCTGAGCAGATGGAAATGTGTTTCCCTTGTGCCAAAATTCAAGCAAAGCCAGGATGGCAGTAGACGTCCTTCACGAGGAGGGGTTTCCAGAGAAGGGGTGCGGTAACAAGAAAGGTCCTGGCTCCTGCCAGTCACTGCATCATTTGGAAAGCCATGGACTTCGAATAGGGCTTCTGAGGTTGATCTTCAGGCTGACACAGGATCATTAACAAAGCACCCAACTTTCAGTGCCCTTCTCATTTTAATGTGCTGGCTCATACGGGAGCAAAATCTTGAATTCATAATTTGTGTACCCATCCCAGAGGGTGAGTTGAAGGACAGCACCAACCAAATCTGAACCGGTGATAAGAGCAGAACTGTTACTCCATGTAATTTCTGGAGATCCTAGGAGAGAGGAAGTTCATAGTCCCTTGGGGAGGTGCCATCAGCAGCCGCCTTGGCTGCAGAAAGACAGGTGTGCTGTGCAGCCACGCCTGCGTATGCCAGGCAGCGGGGAGTGGGGGAGCCGTGCAAGCGACTGGCCTCATTTATTGCACCCACAAGCTGTTTCCCTAGAGATCTCTGAGCTAAAGGAGGGTCAAGTAAGGACAAATGCCTAGCAGAAAAGTCTCAGATTGCCCTGAAGCAGAGATCATTTTATTTCAATGAAGCCATATCTTGTCATTGTGTTGCACATTATCTTAGAAATGCCATGACGGACATAAGTAAATTACATCTTTTCCTTAAGCAGCTCTTGCAGCATGTGCAAGGATAATCTCCATGAACTGTATGTAGTCTGTCTGTAAGTAGCAAATAAATGAATGAATGAATTTGTATTAATTAAATTACTCTTCATCTAGTTCCAATGTGTTTGAAGCATAATGAGCATAATATCAATATTTATGCAGCTTTGTTTCTGTTGCTGAAAGAGCTTTCTGGGGACCCTCTTTGAACTGCCTGTTTCCTTGGACACTCACACGGCTACATTCTTTTCAGAAATAATTGCACCAACATACACTTCGGGTTCACACAACACTTCAAGGGTTCAGCTTAATAAGTCACACAGGGTAGTGTCTCTGCCCTACAAAAGGGAGCTAATTCTCCCTCAGTCCTCTTGCAGGTATCCCAGGGAGACTGAAGGAGCACCAGGCCACCCGCCCCCCCAACACACACACACACACACACACCATCCACAATCATGACCCGTTTATGGTTTGCCACAGCTTGAGTCTAAACAATAAAAATTGGCTGCTTGTGATGGTGAAAGTGGACTGAAAGCCCTCCATTATGAGCCCACGACACCTCCAGTGCCGTATACAAGCTGTCCCTTGCCCCTGGTTTGCAAGGACCTGTCAAGTCTGGCTGGTCAGGCGTGAGCAGCTCCTTACAGTGTGCATTATGTATACACAATGTACACAAAATGTACATTCCATAAAGTAAATTGCAGCACTTTGCACAATCTAGTCTTCAAGTGCTTGACAAAACTGTACAGACCTAGAAGGGGTATGCCTGCCAAACCAAGCTGTTCCTTCTGTCATAGGGATGACCCTCACATTCTGCTGGTTCCTTCATGCTAGCAATGGAGGGGTTCCTAGCAAAATGGGGGGGGGCAACTCAGGATACTCCCCCAAAAAACTGCAGAGGTCATGCTGAAGAGCAGGTAGGAAGAGCCCCTTTCTGAAGAGCATACCCTAACTTTGCCAGGAGTTGCCCACCCCAGACCAGTCAAATTAACAGGTCTTTGCAAAGGGGAGGAAAGATGAGGAAGCAGCCCCTCCCAGTTGCCAAGAGGGAGCTTTGCTTGGTAGAGGGGACATAGCAACCCTTGTTTGCCTTACTTGGCTTAGGCTGCTGCCTCCATCCCAATTCTTCCAAGTTACGGAAGAGGAATGGTTATGTCCCCAGATGGAACAGCATGCAATCATTTTTGTTGTACTCATTGCGTGTGCCCCAATTTTACTGTGGATACATGCCTTAAAGAATGAGATGGGTGGAGCAGGGAAGTAGTCTCATTTATCAGAAGCAATGGTTTCATGAATTCACCTCTTCCTTCGTTCCTTATGTAGTTCTGCTGATATATACCATCTGGTCCACTGAGTTCCAAGAGTATTCATGGGGCATTACACAATATCCCCTATAAAACCCACAGTATCCTGACTAAACTTCTGTTGTCCCTTTTGACAAGCTGAGTGCAGAGGAAGCGATTTAAATAGTGCGACTCAAGTGAGGCATACTTTTCTCTCTTTTCTTCTCATGATCTGGATCATTTCCACAACAAGTAGCATGCTTGCTTTCTCAGATAATCTCCTATTTCAGCACAGCAGAATGTTCCCGGCCTGTTTGCATTAAGGTTCCACAGTTTTGTGCGAATTCAAAATGAACTGATTTCATGTCAAGGTGAATAACCCCCTACCCAAAATGTTTGCTCATTGCAGGTCAAATGTGATCAATATTGGCCAAGCAGAGGCACAGAAACATATGGACTGATCCAGGTGACCCTGCTGGACACAGTGGAGTTGGCAACATACTGTGTTAGGACATTTGCACTTTACAAGGTACTTCTGTGTCACAATGCTTTGGATGTGTTTTCATGGGGAGGGGATGGCAAGGCCCTCTGAAAGATGCAGCAGGTCCAGGGGCTTCCTTGAATTGAGAAGGAGCGAAGTCAGAAGCAGCGGATGTCCCCGTCTTGCTTTATGGAGAAGCTGAGGCACTTGGCACCTGTGTGCCTCTGGGCAGGTTTCTGTAACACCAAGTGGCCCTACGCCTCTCAACCTCCTTTGTTCCTTTCCTTGAAAGGGAGCGTGTGAATCAGAAGTGATTCAAGATGAGCAAAAAAAGTGGCGGGGGGAAATGGAGGTGCCCGGCTGCATGGGACAGTGGGGTGGGTGGATGAGAGGACAACGTTTGCCTTCTGTGAAACTGGCTTCTGCTGGTGCTGAAAACTCAGTCCAGAGGATGAGCTTAGTGTGTGGAGGTCTGGCTGGCTATGGGCTGCCTCCTTTAGCAGAGGTGGCCTGCCTGCATCACCAGGTGCTGAGAAGCTTGGGCAGGAGGAGGCCTTGCACCCATCCTGCTTGAAGGATTCCGCCAGCTGGCCCGCCACCCTGTGTGCTGGACCAGATGGATCTTTGGCTGATCCGGCATGGCTTTCCTTATATTGCTGTGTTCTTAACCTGCACCTCAGCTTCACCCTCAATCTTTTGGGCAGCTTAATTGTTCTTTGTGACTGGCCACATCTCCTGTGGCAGCCACTTTGAGGTGGTGCCCAGTACAATTTCCAAATGTGCCTTTTCAACCAAAATGGTTGTATATCTCCTGACTAGGTGCTTTGCTTTCTTTCTTTCAGTAACATATACATACACATACAACTGGAAGTGATTTCTAGGGCCACATAATCCAGCTCTTGCGATAGCCCGATTCCCTAGAAGTTAATCTTATTTGACTAGTGTCTATCCAGTTTTCTTTTCTAAGTTTTCAGGGCTTAAAAGATGCCATAAAACTCCACCATCTTTACAATTATGAAGCATTTCTTGACATTCAAGCAAACTCAGTTTTGTGGCATCTTTTATATCTTGCGCTTTGTTCTTCCTTCTGTGATTTTAGGAAACAATTTCTTTTTCTTGTGTCAACCTATGAACAGTCCTACTTTGATCTCTTTACATGCCTAAGCTAAATACAGCTGGTTTCTTTAGCTTTGTCTCCTGCTTAATGCTTTATCAGCTGCACAGTCGTTCCTGTACAAGGCAGGTAGAGAAGAAATAGTCAGTTTAAGTGCCCCGTGTGCCCTGTCCACCACCGTCGTTGAGCACTCCGTTATTGTAAATGCAGCCATCTACTGAATGTGGGTCAGCGCTTCAAATCAGCCACAGATTGGACTTGCATGACCCAGCAAGTCTCCTGCTATTGGGATGTTATGCCTTCCCTTCCTGGTGGCATCATTTCAACCAAAGTTCTTATGTGGCAGAATGGATCGAGTGAGAAGAGGGAAGTACGGCAGTTTCAGTTCACTGCCTGGCCCGACCATGGAGTTCCAGAGCACCCCACGCCATTCCTAGCTTTCTTACGAAGAGTCAAAACCTGTAACCCTCCCGATGCTGGACCGATGGTTGTTCACTGCAGGTGAGTACTGGATTTGCTATAAAAGCTTCGCCATGGACATCACAAATGTCATTTGCCAAAGTTTCGTTGCTTCCTGTTCTAAATTTTGCAGCATAACAATGTGTTACGCTGCATTTATCTACTTTCCTATTGTCTGACAGTTCTAATTTTCTGAAGACATGGCAGGCCAGAATCCAAAAAGGAGGAGCTGGCTCCATGAGCCCAAGGGAGTTTTATTCATCTCTTTTTCCAATACAGCAGTTGCTTTTGAAACAGAGGAGTTTTTGTGTTACGACTTCGTGGGCTTACCATTTCAAAGAAAATACTCAAAGGATCCACTAGCTGCAAATCAGTGCTCAAATAGTGTCAGAATCAAGTTGCACTTAGTTCTGTGAAGCCTAGACATGAGGTATAAAGTCCCATATCCAGGTTTACACTCAGGTTTTCTTATATTCCTTCCTGCAAAGACTTGGCTGAATTGCCTTCCAACTTCCTGGGGCAGCTTTTCTGGTTCCAGGGAAGTTCAGGAGCTCCAGTCAGGTTCTGGGGAGGCTCCCTTTAGTGTATTATCATTTGAGCTACTCTGGAAACATCCTTGGCGAAGGTGAGGAAACAGGTGCTATGTGCAGTCCTTGGGGTTCCTATCATTTTGCTATGTATATGGTTCTCTCATTTTACTTTGAGGACAAAGGCAGCTGATAGTCCAAAACCTTGGATATCTCCCACATTTTTAATGTATCTGCTTGAATAACACAAAACTGAATCTGTTACAGTGATCCAGCACTTTGTGACTCTCCTATGTGTAAAATCTCTGTACAAACTAGCTTGTTATTGCCTGTTTACATATGCTATACTCGATCTAATTTTGTTTCTATCCCTAGGGCAGTATCTGCTGCAGCCCTTCCACCCCTGGGGGTTCTGTCGCACTTGGAGAACCTACCTCTTGTGCAGTGGGTCTTTGCGATTTGAAAAAATATCCCTGGAAGTGAGCGGAAATGCTTGTTTCCAGGGTGGGATAGGTCAGTGGAGCTCACTGTTCTGAACATGAGCATTTCTACTCAAAGCCTCGGTGCTCAAGCAGTTGGTCTCCTTAGCACACACTGACAGTTGTATAACATGCGCTACTTGTTGACATGAAATGTGAGTTCATCCGGTAAACAAATCTGAGGTGTGAATGGACAGCCTTCTTTTGCATCTTGGCTGTCCTGACTTCCCCTCCTCTTCTCCCAGCCATCTCTCTGTTTTCTATTACATGTATATTCTACCTTTCTTCCTAGGATTTCATGGTGACACCAGTGGGTTTTCCCTTCCCCAATTTTATCTTCACAACAGCCCTCTGATGTCAGTCAGGCTGAGAGATAGTGGTTATCCAGACCTCAGTCTCCCAAGCCCTTGTCTGTAACCACTGTACCACACTAGTTTTAGGTTTCTTTCTGAACAGTTCACAAGCTTACCTTTCCATTCTGATTTTGCCCTTTCCCTCTGCCTCTTTTTCAGCAAATGCAGAATATGCTGCAATCCAATGCACACAAACGAGTAAGACCCTGTGAACCCAGCAGGATTGCCTTTGGAGGAAAGATGCAGAGGGCTGTATAGTTGCTCCTGCTGCAGAAAGTATCTGGAACAAACCCATTCTTTCCCTTCATTTTCAGTCTCTCTAAGGACGGAAATGAATTTATTTTATGAAATCCTGCTCCAGATTCTCCCCCTTTCTTTCAAAACTGAGCATGCCGTGTTGATGGTAGATAATGAAAAGCATAATCATAAACATCTCCCAAATCAGCTTTTCATGTATAAATTTGAGAGCTGCCACTGAAGGAGCTGATGAGAAAAAGGTAGTTGTAATTTTCATGAGTGCCAGAAAAGCTTTTAACATAGTATAGCTAAAAAAATAAAGATAAACAGTTGTATTAAGGAACAGTAAGTTGTGGGTGAAATGTTTTGCAGTTATTTGTTTTCTGATTATCTAGGCTAATTAAATTTCTCATTAGGGCATGTGATTTACCCTATATAATTTAATTCCTTTAACTTTCCTTTATACTGTGTGGTCCAGTTATGTATTATGGCTTCAGTCTAAAGAGTTAGTTACTATTTGAAGTAAAAGGGAGTATTTGAAGTAAAAGGTTGAGTTGTGATTGTCTCATGATAAAGTTGGTTATTTCTTACCAGATTTGCCATGCCAAACCATTACTAATAAAAGCAAAGGCAGCTGTAGTTATTGGCTAACACTTATCTGACAGTTTCCACCGGAAAACAAAGCTGAAAACAATGGCTTTAATTGCAGGATCCAACCAAATTATGTTTGAGCTGCTGTTGATAGCATCTAATCCATGCATCTTTTCTTGGCTGCTAAAATTGCTGGCCCTGCAAAAAAATACAAATAATCAATTTCCAGTGCATTTTTTGTTTCTACAGAGTCTTCTAGCAGAGTCAAAGAATGCATAGAGTATCTGCAAACTGCAGTTCTAGCTTAATTTATGGATTCTTTGCAATCTAGATTGTTAGTTCATTGGGGAAAGGGCCTGTTCTTTTATTTATTGGTTGTTTTGTGTATTTGGGTCATTCTGTAGAATACTGCGTACTGAGTGCTAACACTTAAGATTTTCTATAAGTGGAGTACCATTTGGCAAACAGCAGAGCTGGCCCTAATGAATAACTTACTTGTGCTTCATTTAGATAAACATTTCTTCCTCTGAATAACGTTCTGCTTATTATAGAGTAATTTAGCAATAGCATAGTCCAACTTCTGCTTCCATGCTGATGTGCTTTAATTTGCAAAATTAAATATCCTTTTAATAAGCACATTGTATGAAATTCAGGTCTAAATTCTAGGAATCTGTATCAGACAAAGTGTGACATGTGCTATATTGATTATCAGAGAAAGCACATGGTTGCATTTGAAGTTGGATTAATGCTGGCAAACAGGTGCTAATCAGATCATATTGGAATAGTACCAGAGGGCACCAAGAAGCTTTTTTTATTTAGCTGTTAGAACTGCACAGAAATTTGAGTAGATGCTTCAGTAATGTTGGCCAGAATCTTCATGTAAAGATGCAGGCATTCATACTCTGTATTTCTGTACCTGAATACCACTGGCAATCCCTGAGGGGCCATTTAATATAGTAAAGTATGTACATATTGCTGATGTACTTGAAATGAGTAATAGGAAAAGAGGAAATTGGAAAAATAAGAATTAAAGATTCAAGGAACACTCTCAGCTGCAATACAGAACAGATAATTAGCATGCAAAAGAAATCTTTTGTAATCTCTTAGTAAAGGGATTTCAACTAATTGGGGAGGGATTCAAATTTATACTAATTATCTTATTTGGTATAAAGTTATGTCATAGTTTTCTGATTCTGGATACATTTGATTCAGTTGCTTTTCTTTGAGCTGATGTATTTATGTCCAACTGTCATGCCTCTTTTAACAACATTAAAAGAAAATAAGGGCCAATACATATTTTAGCATTTGAACTGTGTTCAAAAACCCCCCTACAAAAATGCATACATTGTTATGAACAGCACAGGTGCATTTCATTGATCATGTTTCCATGCAATGAATATACAACAGGGATTCGGATCTTTCATTTATTGTGCTTTATTAGGATGAGGGACTCCTATGATGTAACTACATGAACATCACTTGCAATTAACACCCCAGTGTTTGCATTGGGCCACTTTTGGGAACTGGTTCAAAAAAGTAGGGGTGGATTGGCATTTCAAGATATATCTCATGCCTGTCAAAGTCCTGGTCATCCCGTTCTCCCAAAAGAGCATGCTTGAGATGCTTCCAACAACAACAGCAAAATTAAAAGGGATGGAAAGATTGTATGGACAGGCCCACAGGTAAGCTTAGCTTACACATTCTGCTCAGGCCACAGCAAGAGAGGTAAGCCAAGCCAGGGTCTTATGCTCGCGCTGCAGTACATGCAGGCAGCAAGCGTACAGGCTGTGGTTCAACCAGCTTTCAGTTTACATCTATGGTTTTTGTGATGGTGACTTCTTTGCGCTTCAAATGTGGAATATGGGCATACATTTTGAATCTTAGTTTTCCACTTGGCATGGAAAGGTTGCTCTGTTCCCGAAGTGGGTGTAGGCAGTACAAAGAGGTGCATTGGCCTCTACTCATGGTGGGTGACCGCCTGAAGGGGAAAACCTGCAGCACTCATCCCAGCTCTCTGGGCGATTGAGAAAGCTGGAAAATCAACAGCTGCATGGAGAGGTACAGAGGCTCTTCAGCCAGTCACCTACTGTGGAAGGCAACAGCGAGGGTGATGGACCCATCTGGAATGCTCCCACTCTTTGAATTTTACTGTATTCCCTTCGGAATGCCTGGATAGGTGAAATGTTGATCTATAAATCTTAATCTTTGCACTGAAAAAATTTATTTGCTTGACTTGAGTCTTTCTGGTTCTGCACCAGAGCTATGCTTTTGCTAGGCACTCATTCATATAATTTTCTTCTAGTACTTCTGTGATGATGACTGTACACTGGCTTCTTCCTGTAGAATACCTTTTTTTTGTATGATAATGTCTTGGACGATTCAGTATCTTTTCAAAGCCCAGTGCACCTCTGAGCAAAAGATCCCAAGTGCAAGGATAAGCTGATGGTTCTGAACTACCTAGCAGTGACTGATCAAGAAAGGAATCTTGTTCTTGGAATTGTGGTGGACAACTTAATGAAGGTGTGCGGGTTCACATGACACAGGAAGCCCTGGTACAATCTTACCACTGTGCATCTGTTGTAACTGTGTACCACATAGTTTCTGTAAGATCAGGTAAGATTAGTTTTCTGAAACTAAGAGAAACATGGAGATCTGTTCTTTAAAAAACAAAACAAAACTTAAAAATCATTTTTCTTCTAAAATACAACTAAAACAAAAGATTAGAACTGAAATAGAAACTTATAAAAATAAAACATGCAATTGAAATAATTCTTAAATATACCGTGCCCCCTCCCCACTGCCACCAGGATCATAGATACAATAACTCATTCAAACATTCTTTCAGGACATTTCCCTCTTCCAAAATTGCAATGATGCTTTTGATGGTTCAAATTCTTTCCCCCCTTTTTAACACATACTCAATAGATGCACCCCAAATCTCATTAAACTTGTTTTTATTTATATGCTCTTTTCTCACTTTAATATTGCAGGTTAATTTATCATTAATAGCTATATTCCATACTTCTTTGTACCAATCCCACAATTGAGAATCATATTTCACTTTCCAGTTCTTAGCTATAATTAATCTCACAGCAGTCATTAAATTACAGCGGTCTGTTCTAAGGCTTCCATGCAGCTTCTTTGGTTGTCTGGCCCTAGGACTGCATTTTACCATTGTTGTTATGGAAACACTATAGATTCCTCTGACAAGAACAGATGTTGAAGTCCCCTCTTCTAACCTTCAGTCTTTACTTCCCTCAGCTCCCTCAGTGCTTATTTTACTCCCATTGGTTGAGCTTTTGGAAACAGGGAGGCATTGCAAAAATACACAGAGGGAGAACGGGGAATCACAGTGAAACTGTTTGTTTTCATTTAATAAAAATCTCTGTGGAGGCTGGAGCAGCTAGGAAGCACCCAAGACATGCAGGTATACTCAGGAAGGGGAAGCGGGAACACGCCTCAAGACTGCCATGGAGGCGGCTGCAGCCCAAAGGCAAAAATAAGGAAATGATGGGGATTTATTTGTAGGGGCTGTCAGGATACATGGCGAGGTTGGGAGGACAGAGCAGGGAACATGGAAACCTTGCTGCCTCGGCAACCTGTAAACTCAGGCAAAAATCCGCATGCCATGGAAACCTTGCAGGGTTGTTTGCCATGCCATGTGAACTAAAGCAGCCCAGTGTGCAGCTGCTCTAAAAAAGGCAAACTCCATGTTAGGCATAATTAGGAAAGGAACCGAAAAGAAAACTGCCAATATTGTACTCCCCTTATGCAAATCTTTAGTGCAATTCCCCTTAGAATATTGTGTACCGTTTCGGTCACTGCACCTGAAAAGAGGCATAATGAGTTGAGCAATGACGTTTCTCACCGCCTTCTGTTATTCTGAAGTGCTTTCTAGACATTTTTCTCCCTCTTCCATAATACAAGAGCCCAGGCTCATCCCATGAATTTACTTGGAGAGATGAAAGGAAGAACTTCTTCATACAATGATGGAATTCATTCCTACAGGAGGTAGTGACAGCCACCATTTTTAATGGCTTAAAAAGGAGTTGGAAAAATTCATGGAATAGAAGGCCATCAGTGGCTACTTAGCCTTGTTGCCAGTGTGCTGTCTCCATCATCAGAGGCGGCCTGCTTACAGGCTCCAGTTTGGACAGGCGTACCCGTCCTGCTTGAGAGATCCTGTGGGCAGCTGGTTTGCTACAGTGTGAATGGACTGCTGGACTAGATGAACCATTGGTATAATCCAGTATGGCTGCTCTTACGTTCTTACTCTTCTGCATTTTTGTACGGTCTCTTAATAGTTATGGTTTTCCTAATGATTCTCCATCCCAATATTATTATCTAGCTGTTGCTTTGTATTTTGCTTTAACTTTCTCATTTAACCTGTGCTGGTGCTGTATCCTACTCTCTTCCTAACATATCTAAGATTTATTCATGTTGACGCTTTGTTCATTTGTCGTGTTCATTCTTCACCATTTCTCAGTTTGATTGCCATCCTGCTTTCTTCACTGACCTTTCTTTATCTAATCTCTAATTCCATGGTTCTGTTACGAATGTTGCTGCACAACTTACTTTCTCTTCTTGCCACCTTCATCATTGCACTCTTCTATTCTGTGGACTTCCTTTGTGTCTGCTTCCATTTTATATGTAAATCCTATCTCTCACCTTTAAATCACCTCATTCATTTGCACCTCCCCATCTTCCATTTCTTTTTGCTAGATTTCCCCCTTTTTATTCACCTTTCTTCTAGTACATGTCACTGCTATTTCTCATACTTGTACATTTTTTTAATCATTCCTTATCTTTGGAATTCTGTTCCTGGTAATAGTTATTCTGCTTCTTCTCTTTGTTCAAACAGGCTCTAAAGACATGCCTCCCTCGTGTTGAACTTCCCCTGATTGATTTTCTTTTATTGCCAACCTCTTTTTGCCAAGATGTTTGAGTCTGCCTCTTGCTGTTCCTTTCCTCTGTGTGTGTCACACCTTTAGACTCTAGCCTTTGGACAGGACAGCATGTTTAGAATTTGAAGGGCTCAGTTCTAGGGAGGCTTAGACTGAAAAAGCCCTATAGTGCCCAGGACAGCTAGCTGGGGCATGCCGGGAGTTTAACACTCCCGCTTTTTGTCTGTCTGGATTGAGCCTAAAAGACATCAATTTTACATCAGATTTTGACAATTTCCAAATGTTTTACTTTTT